TGTCCCATTTCCAGTACTTGAGTTGGCCGGATTACGGCGTTCCTTCTTCAGCTGCCACTCTGATCGACTTCCTGGGGGCGGTCAAGCAGCAGCAGAGGTTGGCGGCCAGTGCCCTGGGGCCTCGCTTCAAAGGTCACGCAGGAGGGCCGCCTATGGTGGTCCATTGCAGTGCTGGCATTGGCAGGACAGGTAATTCTCTCCAACTCCACAGAGCAGGCTGCTGGGGGAGCCCCTGTAAATAGGAGACTGAGAGAATGGAGTGAAACCCTGCTGGTGTCACTCCTAGTGAACCTCTAGGAGGCGCCGTAGTTCGGAGGAAAATAGCTCCTCTTTCTGCTTACTGTATTTTTTCCCCCATGGGATGCTCTCCTGACCCACTGTGAAGCCACGGAGACTGTCACCCTCCCCCGGTACTTTCCAATTCCAGCTCCGCACCCCATGGGGCTTTTTACACACTGAGGCCTGGCTGCGATTTGTTTCCGGTTCAGGTAGTCCTTAGTCCCTTCCTGGGGGGAGCCATGTACCTTCAGTCTGAGAGCTGGGATCCCGAGAGCGGCTCTTTGACATGGTAGATTGCGCTTCACTGGGCTGGTCCTTCATGAGAGACTCACACGGGAACTCCTTTCTGTGGGATCTGCTTGGGCACGTTGACAAGGACACGCACACCTGGAGCCTTAAATCCCCACATGTCCATCAGGGATGGAATTCCTCCCCCTTGCAAGAATTCAGTGTTAATCTGTGGCATTGGGACAGGAAGTTCCCCAAGGGTAGTTGAGATTTTAGGATTCCTTAGGATGGTAACTGGGAGTCTACGAGTGGCAGCAGGGAGCAGGATTGTCAGGCATTTCTGTGGGGTGGGGCTGCTGCAGAGGCAGTGTTTTGATGGACTGCCTGTTTGTCCCATCCCTCAGGTACCTTCTGCGCGCTGGACATCTGCCTCTCCCAGCTGCAGGACATGGGCACGCTGAACGTGTACCAGACGGTGATGCGGATGAGAACGCAGAGAGCCTTCAGCATTCAGACCCCCGAGCAGTACTATTTCTGTTACACGGCCATCATTGAGCATGTGCAGAGAGAGGGCCTGCTGCCCTCCACTCCCACACGGGCAGGCCAGGAGAAGAGCTAATGGGGACGCAACCCAACCCGATGGCAGGGACTGGCTCTCCTGTCAGTCACGACCAGCCCACCTTCCTCACGACCAGTCCGGATTCAGCAGAGCCTTCAATAACCAAACTCCTTTGTCGTAGGGCTCCAACCTTTCCTTGGCTAGCTGGTTCTGATGAATCGCAGCTAGTAGCCACTGACTAGCGGCTCGTGGTCTTAACTATTAGCACCTGCTGTTGAACTGTGCCTTATTCAAACCAAATTGTGGCTGCCACTTGCCAGGGTAACTAGAGATAAGAGGGAAGAGGATCTGCTCCTCAATATGATTTCGTTTTTGTGGGACCACCTGAAATCCACCTGGAGGACTTGACTTAAAGAAATATCTATTTCCAGTACCAGCCTAGCCTTGGGCTTAGAAAAGGCACATACGTCAGTCTTACCTGCCACGAGGTGTGTGTGTCTGTCTGTCTGTATGTGTGTATATAATATATACTCCATTTGTTCAGGTCTAGCCTACGTAAGTATTATATAGATACATATATACACGCACCTGGGTCTGGCTGCTCCTGGGGCTCAGTGTTGTAATGTTGTCTCACTGCTGTGATCTCTCCAGTGGCGAGTTATAGCCTTGCCTTGTTAATGGCGCTGTGATGATACTGGCTCTGTTTTGTTTGTTTTTTTCTTTTCACTCCTCTGCTGCAGCTGTAGAAGACGCACGCTCGCTAGTATACATGCCCGGCGGTGTACGGACCACGGCGCGTGTTGTGCTGATACATTCCTGTTGGATCGGAGTGGTATGGAGAAGCTGCGCTTGGCCCAGCTAGATCAGAGCGCATGCTACATCCCCGTGCCAGGGGTGGCCTGCAGGGGTTACACTGTCTTACCTGTCTTTTATTTGGAGGAGGGGTCCTGGGGCTGATCTTTTCCCTTGAGTGAGGAGTTGCAGACCTTCACTGTGATGAGAGGACCCTTCCTTCCCAGGCTGGAGATGACTCACCTGCTCACTAGGGGGCAGCGATGGGTGGCAGTAGGTACGAAGTGCTGCAGGGCAGAGGGCTGTGAAGTGCTGTCAGAGTAATTGGGCTTTACCGAGGAAGTCTGAACTCAGTTGATGGGGCTAATTTACTTCTGCGCTAGAAGCTGTGCTTTTCCAGGGAGTCCCCCTCCCGCCTGTCTCTGCCAGGCAGACATCATCAGGATGAGCTGCGGCTGCCGAGTGCCTAGCCAAGACCACCTTAAGGTATAGAAGCCAAAAACCTGGAGCAGCTGCTTAACTCTTCCTTACTGCCCAGGCGGTGCCCGGCCTGCCATTCAACGCACAGACTGCGCAACCCCAGCCCTCCCAAGTGCTGCTGGGATATCTGACCATCACGCCCCTCCTTCCCCTCCCAGAGAGGTGGGCTGGCAGCTGAGCAGACCTCAGTAACTTTATACTGTAATAAGCTCTCTGAATGTGTACATTCTTATTTTTACAACCTTTTTGGTTTTGTATTTAACGTTCACTTGATCGAGCCAGAGCTGGAAATCATTGTAAATGTTTCTATGCGCTGTCGCATGGCAAGACGGTTTTGTATTTACATATAAATATACCTACAGACAATCCGTACGTTTAGCTTCATCAATGCAGCTGCTTGGAGGATGGGAAGGGGGAGTTGAAGTGAGGGAGTCTGTGAACACAGACTGGGGGACTGGGTTAGGATTGTGGGTCTGACAGCCTGAAATGTAGCTTTGTCCAGGGGGACCCAGGCCTGGTCCAGTGTCCACTGAAGTCAATGGGAGTCTGTCCTTAAGTCCAGTGGGGGCAGCATCCGGCCTGCAGGGAGTTAACCAGTGCAGACCTTTCTTCCGCTCCTGTTGGCCTTAGCAGGAGTTTGTGGCTCCATGGGAGAAGGACCTCCTAGGTAGACCTTGACTCAATGGTAGAACTTCACACACACTTTTGTGGTAGCAGAGAGAGAACCAGGCTGCTGTTTTTGGTTATGCATGCTTTAATTATGGATTAATTTACTGTGCTTCTCGTGTATACAGTACTTGCCCAGATAATCCCTCAGGATGTCCATTACTTAGGGCCACAGCCAGCCAGAAAAATCACAGGTAAATGAGTCTCCTCTTACTTTTCCGTTGTTTGGCTTTGCCCTAAATAGCCTTGTTGAAAGAGGTTGGGCACAGGTGTTCATCTGGGTGTGACTGGTGGGGTTTTCCTTTCAAGAAAGCTAGCTCTCTTTTCTGTAATCTGTGTGTGCCCCTTTAAGTGTTTCATTTGCTGATTTTTTCTGCACAATTTAATACAGAAGCCTCAATTATACAATTAATTACAGATCACTCAACAGGCTCAGTACAAACGTGGGGCAGGGTTTTGAGCTGCTCAGGTAAATCAGAGACACCCTGACACCCATTATTTATGTCTATTATATTAGCACCTAGAGAGTCCCACCCATGATCAGAGTCCTGTTGCACTAGGTGCTGAACACATACATAGTCCCTGCCTGGAGGGGTTTATAACTGAAACAGACGAGACACAGCAAGGGAGGGGAAACAAGCACAGCGAAGGGAAGTGATTTGCTCGTGGTCACCCAGCAGGGCAGTGGGAGAGCCTGGATTAGAACCCAGATCTCCTGGCCCTGTCTAGTGCCTTATGCATTGGAGCACATTGCCTATCTGATCCAGGCACGCACAGCCTCCCTCCTCAATGGCCACCCAAAAGATGATGTCAAAGAGCTGCACGTCTTACCAGTGTATTTATGCACCCAGTCCAATGAAAGCAACAGGATTAATGTTACCTGTTCTCCTTGGATGCAGAAGGTGGGATACAGATGCATAAAGGTATATGCTTACCTACTGGAGTATGCCGAGGTGTGCGTACACGTAGACCATCATGTACGCATAAACATCAGACACACACATATTGGAAGAGTGTCAGCCATGGGCCTTCAACCATTGAATTGCTGCTATCCAGTATAACCATGCTACTTGAAGGTCCATATTGCTTTTATTCACCTTTTAAAATACTTTAAGTGGGAGGGTGGTTAGAAATACATTTTTTAAAGTGACTATTTTTAATTCTGCCCCCCCCCATCCCTCCCCCCATTTCCCTCACTGCTATTGTTTCTTTAATTTAAGGCTTCTAACGTCTGTAGCTGCTTTTTGCAAACCCAGTGCTCGCTGTTGATGCCTGTTCGATCCCGTTTCTGTGGAAACAGTCACCACCAGGGCAACAGGTGCTAGGACCCTGCAGAGAGCTGTAGAGTCATTCTGCAGCCTGACAGCCAGACCAGGTGGGTCTCATTAGCTCCAACTCAGGAGAATACAGGTATTGAGCCCTTCCTTACGGCTGAGGGAACTAGGGGCAGGGACAGAGGGGGCTGTGTAGCGAGGAGCCCAAAAACTAAGCAAGCTCAGGAAGAAGCTCACTTGGATGTATGTCCTGAAGAGCGTACAGTCTAAAGAAACAAGCCAGGCAGGCAGCGGGAGGGGAAGTGACTTGCCCATGGTCACTCTGTAGTTGAGCTGGGACCAGGACCCACATCTTCTGAGGCCCAATCTGGTGCCCTATGCACTAAACCGCACAAAGGATTCATTAATTAAAAAGGTTTCAGAGTAGCAGCCGTGTTAGTCTGTATCCGCAAAAATAACAGGAGTACTTGTGGCACCTTAGAGACTAACAAATTTATTAGAGCATAAGCTTTCGTGGACTACAGCCCACTTCTTCAGATGCATACAGAGTGGAATAAATATTGAGGCGATATATATATACACACATACCTTGTGTGTATGTATGTATGTATATATGTATGTGTGTATATATATCGCCTCAATATTTATTCCACTCTATATGCATCCGAAGAAGTGGGCTGTAGTCCACGAAAGCTTATGCTCTAATAAATTTGTTAGTCTCTAAGGTGCCACAAGTACTCCTGTTCTTTTTATTAATTAAAAAAGCCAAAACAGCTTAGGGGACATTCTAGTCCCATTGTAGTCAATGGGTGTTTTACCACTGAAGTCTATGGAGCCAGGATGTTCGCCCCTTATCTTATTTTTGCCATTCCAATGCCCCTTTGCTATGGAAAGGGAGAGAGCACCGGTAGCTCCATCTGCAGTTGGTCAGCTCATGATTCTGTTGAAATGAAATGGACACTGGATCGGTCCAAAATAGGAGACTTTAAATCCCTTTGTTTGCTGGTCCCTCCTTCTTCCCTTCACAGGTGAGACTGGAAAGGCAGCTGAAGGATTGCAGCTGCTGGTTGCCCACTGAGTAAGATAAATCCTGGTTTGCAAAAACAGCTTTAGCCTTTGGGATCCTTGGAAATAAGCAGTAAGAAAACTTTTCTGCTCTGTGGGTGTACCACCCCCAGGAGATACATTCTCAGAGAAACCCAGAGCTGGACAGTTACAAGAGCAGCCAGAACCTCCTCCAGCCAGTTGGATGCCTCCTTTCCTGATGCCATGTGCATTTATCCGGAGGCAGGACCAAATTCTGCTCTCCATTACACCTGTGTGAATCTGGGGTAACACGCTTGACTTCACTTGTTACCTGAGATTTACACCAGCGTGACAGAGAGCAGGATTTGGTCCAGGCACCATGTACAGTTAACGGTGAGTTGCAAAGCTTGATAAATATACATATCTACACACTCTGATATCATGGAACTTGGAAGCCAGTTCTACCATCCTTGGGCATCTGGATCTCTCCACTGATTTACAAATGGAGTAAACAAGGGCCTAGTAGCCGTATGTTATCAGAACCCTGACTCCTTTGAGTTCACCTATTCTTGTGTTACATTCTAGTGAGGTTTTGCTCTTGATTTATCAGAGTGAAGGTTGCAGAAGAGTTTCCGTTCAAATGCCCCGTTTTCTGTTGCTCATAATTTTTTAGGGCTGAGATTTTCTAGGCGTGGTCTCTAAACTGAGCAATACCCATTTCGCTGGGTTTGAGTACAAGGAGGGGGATGCACATTTCCCATTCTAAAAAAAAAATCTTGCAACTTTTTGTTTGTTTAACACAGCCTTGCCGTCAAAATGACAGGTTTGAATGTTGAAATTTGGTCTGGAACTAGCCTTAAGTGAGGAGTAGTGTGCAGCTTTCTTCCAAAGGTGACGGGGTTTGATTTTAACTGTGTTATGAGCATTTGAAACTCACATTCTGAGCAAATGCTGTACGTTGTTTTCACTACGTTCATTAGGGCCCCAGTCCTGCAAACACTTTTGCACATGCTTGACTTTAACCACACAAGTAGATTCCGTTGATGTCAAGGGGCTGATTGAGGCAGCAGGAATCTTGCACTTGACTACAGTGAGCGTTGGATTGTGCCTGAAGTGCAGACCTGAAGCAGGCTGCTCTGTGCACAGCTGCGTCAGGTCTTGGCTAGTCTTCTGTCGCTGAAATTGGCGGGGAGAACTCGAGCTGAGAAAAGAGCTCTCGTAAAGTGCATGGGGGCCGAGGCAAATGCAAGCTCCTTGCCACAGCGTCTGTAGATCTTGCAAAGTAGAGCCCTGCAGCCTGTCTCAGGTGTGCAGGAGGGAGCCCTGCTTTGATGCATCTCATCAGCTGTGTCAATGATAAAAACTCAAAGTTCCTTCATCACCTGTGGACTCCCAAGGTGTCCAGGTGAGGACAGAGCTCTGATGAATTTTCAAGGTGTGTGGCAGGGATGCTTGCTCTGGCTCACCTTGGGAACTCAGTAGCTGGGTGCAGAGTTCCTGTGGTGCACAGGTGAAAACCCTGCCTCCTCCTAGGATGCCTGGGGCAGGGGCATTCAGGTGGGGTCTCTCCACATATTTCTCAGTGAGGGGATTGACATTTACTAATTGCAGTTTTGGAAAGTCTGCAGAACATCCAAGGGCTGGAGGCTCAAGTACTGCTTTTTTCTGTATAAACCCTAAGAAATTCTATTTAAAAAAAGCTTGTTTGGAGAACAGTGAGGAGGCAACAGATAGGCATTCCAAAGGCAGGGAACGTCAGCACACAGCTGGCACCCACAGCCTTAGCTCTGCCCCAGCCTTAATTACACGATCATATATAATGTTTTCTACAATACTGTTCATGTTAACATCTTGTTAATACCAAGCTCTTCTCTAGTGCTTTTCGTCTGTTGGTCTCAAAGCGCCTCACAAAGGAGGTTTAGCATCATTAACCTCATGTTACAGATGGGCAAACGGAGGCACAGAGCCAGGAAAGTGATTTGCCCAAGGTCACCCCACAGGCTAGCAGCAGAGCTGGGAATAGAATCCAGGTCTTCTGAGTTCCCGTCCAGTGCACTATCCACTAGGCCACACGGCCCACTGTACAAAAAATACACAGTAAAAAGTGCATACACACACTGTAATCTGTACACAGTAATTGTGACAATTAGCTAGCACATATAGGCCACCAAATGAGCTTTCCTAGTCAATTGTTTCATCCCCTGAATTGCACCCAAGGAAGTCGGTACTATTGGTTGAAAACAACATTGTGTAGCTGTTGATTAAATTCTTCCTATGTACGTTAGAAAGGTGAGAACTTGCATAGAACTGTACTGTATGAAAAGTCTGACAATAAAGCGATACTGAATTATTATGACAATAAAATTAGTGTTCGGATTAAACATTGGAGGAAAAAAGTACAAGCTAGGTTACACCAATGTAAGGATGTGAGGCAAAATGTATGATTACACTGCATTATTTGAAAAATTGGAGAATCATAGATTTTTAAAGCAAAAGGGGACCATTCCATCATTTAATCTGCCCTCCTGTACAACACAGGCTATGTAAGGCATAGACATAGAAGGAATGGTTTTATGGATTGGACATTGAGCTGGTATTTGGGAGACCTGGAATCCTTCCCTAGATCAGACAGACATCTTGTGTGACCACCGGCAGGTCCCTTAATCTCGCTATGCCTCAGTTTCCCATCTGTAAAATGGGGTTAATAGTAATTCAGTAGCATTGTAAGAATAAAATCCATTGATTAATGATGATTCTTAGTTATTCAGATAGTTTGGTGAAGAGGGGCTATACAAGGACCGAGTTAGATGAAAAATCAGGAAGTGCAACCCTAACTCTGCCCTTGTTGGAGTGGTTATCTGCGCAGACTTAGCATTCATTGAATGTTTGTTTCTTTTGTGGGGGGAATACTGGGAGAATGTGACAGCATTTTAACAGGAAGAACCCTATTCCCACACCCTCCCGCATCATGTTTTAGAGGACCAGGGAAATGGGATGCTTTTAAATCTCTCTGATCTCAAGAGAGTTAGTAACCATGGGATTTTGACAGCTGGTGAGGACTGATCAAACCTGCGTCATTAAGTCCTTTGCCTGCAGCACTCTATGGGCTAAAATACTGTAAAACCTGTCCTGGGGCTCTCTTGCACTTTAAAGAAGTCATTTGACAGCTGTGACCCCCGGTCCTTGGGGGTTGTGTCACCACTTTGAAATGTGGCCTGTTTCTATCCTGCCTGGCAGGGGCTAGGGTGTAAATCAATGGAGATCTAAATCTTTAGAAAGCTCTGTTCAGGAAGGGCTGCTTGTCTCACCTAAAGCGACAGAAAAGTCAGGCGTGCTGATGAACCAACCTGTTGCTAGAATCTCCAAGCTTGCAGTGGGGGGGCGGCTAAGGACAGAGTTCAGCCTGAGTGCTGACATTCCCCCTGCCCCCTTTTTTTTTGTAAATGAAACATTACAGGGTTTCTTTAAATGCAGTGAGCATTAGTCCTTGCGAGAAGGATGTAAAACCTGCGTGAAACTGACCACAGCACATACTGCACATAGAGGCATGGTAGCCGCACATGCACTCCAGCTAGTTCTTCTGACCAAAAGAAAGTGAAAATGTAGTTAAAAGTCAGAGGAGGCCAGGTCACTTTGAGCCAATGGTGGGGAACGGATGTATTTTTAAAGACTCCCAACTTTAGCTGGAAAGAAAACAAAAGGATTCTAATCCGTCAACTGAGGGGAAAAATGTGTCCGTGTGTAACGATGCTGGGCCCGATCTTACAGATTTTGCAGGACTTTTAGTCCTTGTATCTGTTAAATTGTGCTTGAAAATGCTTTCCTGAGCTGAGGTCTAAAATGCCCAGGTTAGTTCTGAAGAGATTTTGAATGGCTGAATCACAAACCCTTCTACAGCTGCATGTGTGCTGTGCTTTTTCCCAGCCTCACAACATGGGAACAAGGGAACAGTCAATGGAATTAAGCGGTGACAGATTCCAAAACAACTGAAGGAAGTACTTTTACACACAACGTCTGGTTAGATGGTGGAACTCATTGTCACAGGCTGTCACTGAGGCCAAGAACATGACATGTTAGTACTAATACCTAGCTCTTTAGCGCTTTTTATCAGCATCTGAAAGCACTTTACAAAGAAGGGCAGTAGACTTTTCCTTAAGTGCTTGGATATTTTATATGGATCAGGAACTCCGGAAGCTCCCTAGAAGTGTGGGGGGGCCACCGGTGCCCGAACCATGGCCCTTCCCCGCTTCTTCCCCTGTGGTCCCACCCCTTCCACTGAGGCCTCGCCCCTGCTTGCTCCTCTCTGCCCCTCCCCCTGTTGCTTGCCCTTTAGGCTAGTAAAAAGTGATGGGGCCATGGCCCTCTGGACCTCCCCCCACCCATTCTGGCGCTCCTGATATGGATATCAAGAATATCCAGCGTTGTCATTATTAATTATAAACAAAAAAATTTAAGGGAAACTAAGCCTCCTGCTTCATGGTTTAAGCCGATCTCTCTGCTAGAGATCAGGATGAGATAGCCGGGGGGCAGATTATCCCACAAATGCTACTGCTGGGTTCCTGCTTCTTCCTCCTAATCATCTGGTGCTGGCCACCATCAGACCCAGGGCATTGGACGAGATGGCCCTCGGGTCTGAGCCAGTCTGGCAATTCCTGTGTTTTCTTACCACCAGGGCTGGCTCTTCGGCGGCAAGTCCCTCGGTCCGTCTCGGAGGGAAGGACGTGCCGCTGATCGCGATCGTGGCTCCCCGCCCGCCGCTTGGGGCAGCAAAAACCCTGGAACCGGCCCTGCTTACCACCTCCTTTTGCTCTAGCTCTGGTGCAGCCCCACGCCTCACAGCAACAGCGGGAGCCGTAGCACAAAGCAGCTCCTGGTGTTTCACCACTACGTTGACTAGGCTCCTCGGAGAAAGGCTGGGGTGCGGGCAGCTGGCAGAGCTGGCCCCGGTGGGAGATCTGAAGACAATTCAGCATAGACACAGCCTGAAAAGGAAATAAAGGCTCATCTTCACTGCAGTGTTAGCCTGACCTAACTGAGTGTTGCCCCTAACCCAATCCCCATTCACTCACAAAAATCTCTAGCTCTAGTTAAGTGGCACTTTACAGGTGCTAACACTCAAGCTAGTAATGCAGTGGGGATGCAACTGCAGGCTACAAGTGCGAGTTAACAAAACTCGTCCGCTGCTAATGCAATCAATTGTGTGCTGCTAATTCATCATGCTGGGTCACTTCAGTTCGTTTTGCAGTGTGGCTGCTCTCACTTGAGCTAGGCTAGCTTGGATGGAGTAACTGGAGCTAACTCTTGCAGCGAATCCTCTGTGATCCTTAAAGAACCAAAGCCTCCTAGCACATTTTGAACAATGAGCTGGTTAGTAACTAATGCTCCCCACCTGAATATTGCCAAAGAGGGGTTTCCTCCCTTGAAGATTTTCTTTTATTACCTAGCTCAAAAAAGTATTTTATTCATAGACTCCACAGCCAGAAGGGACCACTGTGTGTCTGTCCTCTTGTATTTACACAAGCCATAGGACTTCCCCAAAACAATCCTAGGGCAGCTCTTTTAGAAAAACATCTGCTTTTGATGGCTATTATTTATGTAGCATCCAGAATGAGATACACGAGGCATCTCACAAACATAGTAAGAAAACAGGGCTCTGCCCCAAGCTGTTTACAAATCCCCAAGTAGAGTTACACACACACACACTTTGAATGACCCTCTCTGTAACTAGTACATGTAACATCACAAATAGAGCATTCTGACTTCAGCTGGGGGATAAGCAGCAGGTGTAGTAAGTGAGCTGAGGGGTGAAAACTTTATTTACTAGATCAGGGGTCGGCAACGTTTGGCATGCGGCTCGCCAGGGTAAGCACCCTAGCGGGCCGGACCAGTTTATTTACCTGCTGACGCGGCAGGTTCGGCCGATCGCGGCCCCCACTCGCCGCGGTTTGCCGTCCTGGGCCAATGGGGGCGGCGGGAAGTGATGCGGGCAAGGGATGTGCTGGCCGCAGCTTCCCGCCACCCCCATTAGCCCGGGACGGCGAACCGCGGCCAGTGGGGGCCGCGATCGGCTGAACCTGCCACATCAGCAGGTAAATAAACTGGCCCGGCCCACTAGGGTGCTTACCCTGGCGAGCTGCATGCCAAACGTTGCCAACCCCTGTACTAGATGAATGTGTTTCTGGAGGTGATGTGCCTCACGTATTTCTGGATGCTACGTAAATAATAACCATCACAAAGCAGACGAAAGCAGGTTGGTGTTGCTTTACAAGAGATAGATCTATTCTGAACAGTTAGTGCACAGATTTAAAAATAAACAGAACAAAACCGATCAAACGAGATGGCCTGTACCCTTGATATGACTCCCTGTGTTATTCAGGTCTCTTAACTTGTGTTTTATTGCAAAGCGTTTAAAAAAGGAAAATATAAATTTCAATTTTATACTAACTTGAGGAATTTTATTTAAAGGGAGAAAAAACTTCTGTCTCCTTAGATATAAATATGGCAAAACTTTACCCCTCACCATTCTTCAGACTGTCCCTTAAAGGCAGTGGCCATCAAATAAAAATAATACATAGCTCTTACATAGCACTTTTCATCCATAAATCTCCAAGCACTTTACAAAGGAGGTTAGTATGATATCCCAATTTTACATTTGAGGAAACTGAGGCACAGAGATGTGACATGACTGGACGTTTTGTGTCTGTAAGTGTAATCAACAACTCACCCTTCTTTTAAGATGCTCTTTGGATTTATAGCCACTCCTTCCTGTAGTTGCTGCGGCTGCTTTTGTAGTCTCTGCCAGTGGTGCACATCTCCAAACTGACCTTTAGAGGTGATTAAAGGGAAGCAGAGAGGTTGGGGACATAGGACGTGGAAGCAGAACGGTGACTGATTAAGATAGCTGACACACACATGGGGAAAAGCATGTCGTATGCAGGTAGCCTGTGGCAGGTGCACAGTAGTTATTTGGATTAAAGCTATCCTCCCCCCCAGGGATAGGAACTGGGCTACAGGCTGGGCTGGAGGCCCAGATTTTCAGAAGTGTACAGCCATTTTGCTTGGGTTCGACTTGTCCCTGTGCAACGCACATGGTGTGAGCACCCACATGGGTATGTGCAAATCCCTTGTGTGTGTGCACTAGGGATTGCACATGGAGAAAAGCATGCACGCTTTGAACATTTGGGCCAGTTTCTTCCCTCTTGTATACAAGCACCATTCCCCGTAAAGCCAGTGGTAGCTAAAGGCAGAATAAGGCCAGTAGAGAGGAAACTAGATGGGTAACTGCGAGCTAGGTGGCTAGCGAGAGAGATCTGTTCTGATCACATTGTGATCAGCACAAGAGTGAAGCATGAGTGATTGGAGGGGTCTGTAAGATACAGAGTCATGTGGGCCTTAATGCTTTCCATGCAGTGTTCAGACCACAAGACGTTAGCCAGAAATCCAGAGGTGTCATGGCAGTGACTGACTGCCAATATCTTAACCCAGGGTCCCAACAACGGGCTTTCCTAGCCAGTAATAAGCCCTGCGTCCCAGGTGCACATGCTGCAGAGAAGATGGACAGGGACAGAGCAAAATGTCAGAGGCAGGGAAATCACCCTAACCTTCCTTTCAATTCATTTCAATAATTTTACCAAGTTCCTCCTGAGAGCCTCCTGCCGCACATCATGGTTTGATGGGCATCCCATCAAAGCCGATCTATTCCCCCTTGTTCTCTTTGCTCCCACTTGGCTGACCATGGCTCCCTCTAGCCCCTGCTTCTGAAGAGTTGTCGGTGAGCTAGATGGTTCTTTCTCTCCATACAATGCATGGGAGCAAGGAAACGTCTTCACGAGAGCGCCTGTAGTGATTGATCCCTCCTGCCTGCTGATTTTCATAAGTGTCTGTGCAGAATGGGAGAGAAATGTTGGGGTTTTCTCCTTGCCGGCTGTCCTTATTGGTGAGGGCAGGAGGCCACAGGGCAAGGCAGGCTATGCAGTGGTTACAGGACCCGTTGTGCCAGGGCAGGTCACGCACTCCTGCGCTTTGTCGTCTTTTTAAAAAGAGCAGTGTACACTTCCGGCTAGCATGTGACACCAGTTTGTGTGCTTAGCAGATGGGCTCTTGGCCAAGCTCCCTTTCCAGCAGTTCTTGTCAGTAACTTGCCTATCAGCTTGTAGGAATTCTGCCTTGCTGGTGATGGGGAGAAAATGCTCCTGTTGTGCTTTGCCCCCAGTAACTGGCCCTGGCAGTCAAGGCAGGATCTAGCCCTCTGATTGCGAGACAGCGCTGAACAGCTGATTGTTGTGACGCCAGAGGTAACGCAGCAGTTGCCATGCAGCTGTTTGCACATTGCAGACCTGCTGACTACAACTGCTGTAGGATTGGGCTTTCCTTGCGCTAAGAAAGACCTCTCATGGCTATAATCCTTCCGCCGTGAAATGCAGCCTTTTGCCTCCCTTGTGGCAGACACACATTTCTCTCCCTGTCAGCAGCGGGACTGGCACTGTTGAATGTATAGACACAAGCGATGGCATGGCAGCACAGTGCCCTTTCTCCCGGAGTCAGACGGTGACCCCACTCTAAGGCTGCTGGAAATATGCATCACACGGCTCCGCTGATTCCACTCTGCTCCACCTGGAAAAGAATGAACCCTTGTGAGTCAGGGGGCGGCTTGGAGCAGGAAGGGGGTAGTCAATTCTGAAGTCGAACTGAGGAAAAGGCAGCAGGGTCGATCCCCATGAAGTGGGATGGAGCCCAAGTGGGGGCATTGCTGGGCTGGGATGCAGCCTCTTGGAGGCTTGTGTATGGGAGTGTTGGGACAGCTGGAAGGGCTGGTGCAGCTTCGTCCCTGGTTTGCAGCAGCTGTGCCAACCCGAGGACCAATCGTTGCATGATTTACTTACTCAAATAAAATCTCCACCTGCTTTGGGGGATAAATTCCCTGTAGAAGCCTTCCCCAATCCCCAGAACTCATGAGCAGCAGAATTCCACCATGCATTTAATATAGTCTGGTGAAATAATACAATTCACTGATCTGCACCTGTATGGGTGGGAAACTCCTTTATCTGTAGGTACGATGCATTTGCTGAGCTACTGAACACTTCTTTTGAGAGCTGGAGCTTCCTAGGATGCCAGGACATGCATTATCCAGCCTTCAAAATGGAGCTGCCCAAATAGATATAGCCAGCCGTGCCCTAAAGAATGTGTAAGTCAGGAGTTGATGGACCAATGAAGCAGCAGTCGCTGAGAGGGGCACATAGTGAAAGCTGCACGCTCAGAGCAGCTGTGATGTTGCAAAGGGACCTGACTAACTTCTTTACAAATGTGCTCTTTCCTCTTGGTCCATATAATATCTTGTATCCGTTATATGCCCACACGGCCGTACAGTCATATGAAGTAACAGTCTGTGGTCCTAAAAATATATGCGCGCCTTGTGAGAGGAGTACAGCGGCGCACTCTGGAGTAAGTTATTATTCCACTTATAAAATTGTACTTTTTATTTTTAATAAAACACATTAAATGGTTAATCCCCTCCACCCAGGACTACGAGTTGTATTTTAAGTGTGTGCATGGAGAAGAGGGGATCGCGTCCATGGCCATGTCCAGATTTTATTGTCAGATGTTTGGTGGGGTGGACGCAAGTTGTGGTATTGGCAGGAGAATGAATGAGACATTCTTGTGGCTGCCACCAAATGCCCCAGTTCTGGAGGGTTCCAAAATCCACCATTATCAGGGTGATCGACCAGTCGGGGCACATCCTCATGGCAACGTTCAGTTGAACTCCGATCACAGTCTGTTGCACTTGGGTGCAGCAGTTTACTGGGAGCAGGAAAAGAGTAGAAGAGAATCTCCTTCAGAGCTTGGAGGGATTCCATCCAGGCTTATCCCTGGAGGCTGTGATAGGTGCATCTCACGCATTGATAAGATTCATGTATCTAATCAGTTAAACCTTCCCCTGTGATAGGCAGCATTCCCAGGACATAAAAATGGCCACACTGGGTCAGATCAAAGGTCCATCTAGCCCAGTATCCTGTCTTCCGACAGGTGCCCCGGAGGGAATGAACAGAACAGGTAATCAAGTGATCAATCCCCTGTCACCCATTCCCAGCTTCTGGCAGAGGCTAGGGACACCATCCCTGTCCATCCTGGCTATAGCCATTGATGGACCTATCCTCCATGAACTTATCTAGTTCTTTTTGGAACCCTGTTATAGTCTTGGCCTTCACAACATCCCCTGCCAAGGAGTTCCACAGGTTGACTGTGCATTGTGTGAAGAAATACTTCCTTTTGTGTTAAACCTGCTGCCTATTAATTTCATTGGCTTACTCCTGGTTCTTATGTTCTGAGAAGGAGTAAATAACACATCCTTATTTACTTTCTCTACACCAGCCATGATTTTATAGACCTATCATATCCCCCCTTAGTTGTCTCTTTTCCAAGCTGAAAAGTCCCAGTCTTATTAATCTCTCCTCATATGGAAGCCGTTCCATACCCCTAATAATTTTTGTTGCCCTTTTCTGAACCTTTTCCAATTCCAATGTATCTTTTTTGAGATGGGTCGACCAGATCTGCACGCAGTATTCAAGATGTGGGCATACATGGATTTATATAGAGGCAATAGGATATTTTCTGTCTTCTTATCTATCCCTTTCTTAATGATTCCCAACATTCTGTTCACTTTTTTGACTCCCGCTGCACATGAAGGTGCATCCTCCTTCTCTACTCTGATTGGCAAAGTTTGCAGACTGGTTGCATCATATAATTTGCCTTGGGGGCTGTAAATTGGGAGCAGCACCCTGTTATGCAAGGACAGGCTGCACATCAAGAATTCCTGCCCCAAAGAATTACTGCAGGGAGGACATGGCAGGAGGGTATAGTAGGTGGATACAAGTACCTGGGGAAAGCCCGAGTGGATGGTGAGCCAATTGCAACCAGAGTGATTAGCAGTGGTCATTGCACACCGGCTGCCTAGAGTGTTTTGTAAGCGTCCCAGCAGACAGGAGTCTTAATAAGGACAGTGTGGTGGCTGTGGACTTTTGAGGAGCTCCTTCCATGCCAAATGGGCAGCACAGGAGAAAGGGCAAAAACACTTGTGGGCAGACTGATGCGTGAGAGCGGCTATCATCATTGGCAGGGTGGAGGCAGGAAGTGACTTCGTGATGGCATGTACGAGACGATAGGCAGGTGCAAGCTAAGCTCTGAAGGGCCTTAGCAGTGAAATCACAAGAATACCTGGCTCTTACCTAGCACTTCTCAGCAGCAGATCTCAAAGTGCTCCTCAAAGACGGGTAGGATCACTGCTGCCCTTTCACCACTGGGGAAACTGAAGTGTGGCGATGGGAAGCGACCGGCCTAAGGTCACCCAGGAGTAGAGCTGGGAATAGAATCCAGCTCTCCCAAGGCCGTCCACTGCTCCGCGCCCTAGGGCATGCTATTGCTCCCTCCAGGGAGGTTGTGTTGGATGCAGTGGAGAAGGGGGAGCCAGTGGAGGGATACCAAGAAGCGAGTGACATGGTTAGAGCCCCATACCAGGAAGCAATCTGACTGGGTAAGAGGGGCCGGAGGGCATTAGTCTGTGACAGAGAGAAGATGCAGCCATCAATCTGTGTGCGGATACGGACCTAGACAAATTGCATTTCTTTCCGTCTCCCCGCAGGGGCTGAATGCAATGGATTTTCCCCACGAGGGGGGGTGGGAGGGAGGTGTGGAGGCGTGGAGGCAAGGGAGTCTCCTTCCATCCCACGAGTGGTGGGTTTGCAAACGGGGCTGCAGACTGGCAGAGGTCTATCGAGCACATCTAGCTGGTCTGCAGAGCTGTTCCTATCATGGCAATTACACCTCTGTGGTTCTCCTTGCTAGCTGAGCTTCACTCCAGAACTGATAGGGTGGCCAGAGGCTTATTATCGCCCGTCCAGGTTCAGTAAAACCAAGCGCCCCTCTAGCCCCTGGCTTCATGTGTTGCTTGGGGATTAATTCCAGCCTGGTCCAATTTGCAGGGGTCACCAAAACTGAAGGAGCAGCCGCAAACAGCCAGGACAGAGCCAAACCGCAACGCTGGCCAGAGAGTGGGGGAGGCTGCATGTAATGGAGGGCGTCTTGGTCCCAGTGTGTACAAAGTGCTACAGCCGGTAAGAGGAAATAAAAAGCCCAGCTGCAGCTGAGGGGTCTAGCGCAGCAGCCATGCCCACCACTTCGGAACAGGTGGACTGTCAGCGGCGTTCTAGAATGCCATTCTAATTCGCTTCCAGGGGCCGGGCATGGGAGCCCTGGTGTTGAGCACTGTCGTAACAGAGCAGGAGACCCACTTGTCTCCTTTCTCCTGTCTGGTTGAGAAGTGGGAGCGGACCTGCCATCCACAGCATAGTCCTCAGGTGAGCAGGCAGTGTGTCTATCTAGTCCTGGTTGGCTGCTGGCAGAGCTGGTGGGCACAGCATTCAGGCAGCTCAACACCCCTCTTTACTATCTGAGCACGTGGCTGCATGGGCCAGTGGACAGGGCACTGAACTGGGCTTTGGGAGACCTAGGTTCTAGTCTTGCCATTGCTCTGCTGCATGACCATGAGCAAATCACTTCCTGGGCTTTGTGCCTCAGTCTCCCCTCCCACCCTCTGTCTTGTTTGTACCACACCTAGCACAGTGGGGCCCTCCTCTCTGTTGGAGGTTGTTGAAATGCAAATAATTAATAATCAGCAGCATCATTATGAAGTAACTGATTCTGGGGAGAAGGAGGATCTCCTCTAACCAGAGGCTCACGTGTGAATGCTGTCCCTTTGAAACAAACAACAGGGCAGTGCCAGCCACTGAAGTGTTTGCTCAGCTGCAGTCTAGACGGTGCAAAAGCCGTGAGAATGGCGGCATTTTAGGCACACACTGAGAAGCATCATCTGTGCTTGAGAGGGGGAGAGATTTGGCTGCATGAGACAGTCCTGCAAAATGACTGGAGCCAATGGAGCTGAAAGCACCCAGTAGGAGTGAATCCCAGAGTGGGAGGGGTGAAAGGTGTCAGGGCAGTTCTAAAATGCCACTGGCAAGAAAATCCAATCCTCTGACTGATTGATGAGTAAGACTCTGAGGATCACAGGTGTCCTAAAGTAAATAGATTCTGACTGGTGCTGCTCCTCCTGCTAAAGTCAACACAGCCAGTAACGGACGTGTTTTCTTCCTTTGGAGAACACAGAACCAGAAGGTGCTCCAGGTACTAGCCACTTGGCTCCGGGCCTTACAACACACCTGAAACACATATTCTAGGACACCATCCCACCACATCCTAGACCTGCATCTAAAGCCCAACAAAGTCAAAGGGAATCTTTCCACCAGCTCCACTGGGCTTTGGACCAGGCCCTGCTTGCACCCACCATCCCCTTCAGAGCCTTTCTTACATCCTCTCCCTGTGCCTGGACATGCTATTTCCCCCGCCCCCAGAAGTGTGTGTAGGTTTTGTGTTGTGGTTAACGAATGGCTCCTGCACTGTAAGCAGTGACGTGGCTCACGAGTGCTGCTTTGTGCAGGACCCTGGGCTTGCCTTTTGCTGGCTGCACTGTTCAGTGAACTACCTCCGGACTGCTTGTTTAATCTCGTCTCACCTTCTCCTGCCTTATCCTGTGTGTGAGGACAAACTGTACAACTCCTGAAGTTCTTCCCACCCGGGAATCAATCCATCTATTGCCAACCTGCAGAGGAGGAGAGTGGAGTTGAGATGGAGCTACTATAAGGTGGGTGCATAACTGACTGGAAAACTGTTCCCAGAGAGTAGTTATCAGTGGTTCACAGTCATGCTGGAAGGGCATATTGAGTGGGGTCTTCAGGGATTAGTTCTGGGTCTGGTTCTGTTCAATATCTTCATCAATGATTTAGATAATGGCATAGAGAGTATACTTATAAAGTTTGCAGATGATACCAAGCTGGGAGGGGTTGCAAGTGGTTTGGAGGATAGGATTAAAATTCAAAATGATCTGGACAAACTGGAGAAATGGTCTGAAGTAAACAGGATGAAATTCAGTAAGGACAAATGCAAAGTACTGTGCTTAGGAAGGAACAATCAGTTGCACACATACAAGATGGGAAATGACTGCCTAGGAAGGAGTACTGTGGAAAGGGATCTGGGGGTCCTGCTGGATCACAAGCTAAATATGAGTCAACAGTGTAACACTGTTGCAAAAAAACCCGAACATTGTTCGGGATGTATAGCAGAGTGTTGTAAGCAAGACATGAGAAGTAATTCTTCTGCTCTACTCTGCGCTGCTTAGGCCTCAGCTGGGTATTGTGTTCAGTTTTGGACACCACATTTCAGAAAAGATGTGGACAAATTGGAGAAACTCCAGGGAAGAGCAACAAAAATGATTAAAGGTCTAGAAAATATGACCTATGAGGGAAGATTGAAAAAAAATTGGGTTTGTTTAGTCCAAAGAGAAGAGAAGACAGAGGGGAGATAATGGTTTTCAAGAACATAAATGTGTTACAAGGAGGAGGGAGAAAAATTGTTCTCGTTAACCTCCGAGGATAGGACATGAAGCAATGGGCTTAAATAGCAGTAACGG